ACAAAGAACATATAAGTTAACTATTGGAGTTAAATTGTGCCGATAGTTCTATAAGCTCTCCCAAAACAATAGTAACACTACGTTACACCTGATCTTGCAATATTATTGGACAAAGATCATGTGATTGCGCTCTTTTTCGCCACCACTAAGCTACTTGTTTTTATCATTAACGTTTTTATTAAAAAATGTCTGCTTCTAACAAAAGGCGAAACATATCTGATCCTAACTCAAATGAAATTAATGAAATTAATGAAGCTTCTGAAGATGAAGTTCTTCATTTGGATATATCAAAAAAGACTAGTTGGGTGTGGGCATTTTATCAACAAGAACTTCGCAAACAAAATAGCAAATGGATCACATATTCAATATGCAAAATTGAAGTAGATGGTCAAGAGTGTGAAAGAACATACAAAACCGGATCTTCAACTGGTAATCTTATTGGACATTTAAGTGCTGAACATGGTGTAACTAAATCTGATCAAAATCCTAAAAAGGTATATCTTATATTAATTAATATTAAATATATATGTATATACAGTAACAGTACATACATACGTATATATGAATTTTTAAGTTAAAGATTAATATATATTAAATTTAACAAATATTATATAATTTAGACATCAAGATCTATCCCACTTCATGATAAAAAACAACAAAAAGAGTTATGACAATTACTTGTTGATTGGCTTGTAACTGATTCACGTCCTTTGATTATTGTTCAAGATCCAGCCTTTCATTGATTTGTAAATAGACTTGATCCAGCATTTCTAATTCCTGATGTTAAACAAATTAAGCAAATTATTCATCAAGCCTATAATTATTCAATTCCTCTTTTGCGAGATCATATTAAACAAAATGCAATTAAAGTTTCACTTACAATAGATTTCTGGACAGCCAAAAATCAGCAAGGCTATCTTGGAATTATATGCTTATATATTGATCATCAATTTAAATTAAATGAAACAACTCTTGCAATTCAATATGTTTGTTACCTACATACAGCTATTCATATTTGTGAAACTGTTAAAAAAATTCTTAACTATTGGGATCTTAGTGAAAAAGTATATTCTATAACTACTGATACTGATTCAAACATGAACAAAGCTGTTATAAATATGGATCAAGTTATGTGGCAACATTGTTGTTCACATACATTACAATTAGTAATAGGAAAGGCATTATTGCCAATAGAATCTTTAATTGCTTGTGCAAAATGTTTAATTGATTTTTTTTTACGTTCTAAACAATCAGAAAGGCTAGAAGATATTCAAAAAAAATTGAAATATGATATGTGTGGTAAATGTTATTATTATTATTAATTTTTTTACTACTAAATTTTAATTTTTTTTAATCTAATTAAAGAATGCTGGTGAAACTACAGAATATTTAATTAATTGTATCTCAGATTGTAAAACTTGATGGAATAGTTCCTATTTAGCATGGATTCGATTAGTTCAAATTAAAGTATATATTGAACTTCTTATTATTTATCTTACAACTCATGAAAATTTTGAGGAACGTAAGGATGGAAAAAGGTTACGAGAAATTAATTTAACAAATTCAGAATAGGAATTATTAAAAGAACTCTTACAAGTTCTTGGACCTTTTGAAGAAGTAAGTAAAACTTTAATAAATTAGACTATGTAAATTTTATTATATATTACATTATTTATTTAAATTAATTTATATATAGGCAACAAGATATTTGGGTGGCTTCTATTATACAATGCATAGTCTTATGCATCGAGTTATAAAAGAAATAAAAAATATTTTTAAACCAAGTCAAATAAATGAGGATGAGTTACATTATGATAATTCAAATATTGAAGAACATGATGCATTTGATGATCATGAAGAAGAAGAGCCACAAACTCAAAAATCTCGAATCAAATTAAATGCACTAGTAGATACTACAGGTCTTTTAGAAAAAGTAAAACATAATTTTTATGTTATTACTACTCTGATCCTACGCCACAAGAATTATTGTCTGCTTTATTGGATTCACATCTTAAATCTCTTGATTATATGAATGGTATAAATAGAGTGGCTGTTAAAAATCTTCTTAGACAACTATATAATAATGAAAAAACTATAGAGATAAATCAAAATAATAAAGACAAAGAACTTGATAATAGTGCTTATAATTTGGATAATAAAAGATCTGATGAATTTATGGTTACTACGAATCCATTATATACACCATATTTGTTGAAATCATTAGAAAAAGAAGATCATCCCTCAGCTAATGAAATTGACAAATATATGAGGCAACCTGAAATAAGTCTTAAAAAAGACCCCCTGGTATGGTGGGACTTACACTCAAAAAAATTATCAGTGCTATCTAAATTAGCAAAAATTTATTTAGTTGTTCCAGCACATCCACCCCAAGTGAATGTTTATTCAGTAATGCTGTTAACTTAATGACATCAAAGAGAACCTGCATTTCTCTAGAGCTTTTTAAAAGAATGATATTTTTAAAAAGAAATATCAATCATATTCAAAATATTCATCCTGAATAATATGTTATAAATGTATTATCCATAATTATATAAGCTAGTCATTAGATTTATATAAATATTTAAATGTAATTATTATTGTAATTATTGCAATATAATTATAATTGCAAAAGACAGACATCTCATATTATTATTGAATTATTATTAAAAGTTAATGAACAAATATATGAACAACTTTGGAAACCTTACTGCATCAATTTCTCAACTGGAAAAAACAACAACAGATAACATACCCTTACTTCAAGCCAAAAGATTCATCATCAACTGCCAATAAAGGAAAATGCTTTCAAATCAACTATACATACTCTTGCCAATGTGGAACAGCAGACCAATTACATTCTTATTCAGGTACTTGTCCTCCTGTAGGTCAAGCTAAAAGAAAAATTAACATTTGGTATAAACACTGGATCAAATATAGTACAACTTTAAACTTTATTCTAACTTTAAAAACCTAGGTGGGTTTAGGTCGCAGATAAATATGTCTGAGCTTCTATTCTTGCATGTAATTTTTGTTTTTATTTGTACTTGTACAAATAGTAGTATCTCTTTAATATAGTTACTATTTTTAAAGTTACTAATAAAGATATAAGCAAGGCCTCACCTTAATACCAAAAAAAAAAAATTATAATTGCAAAAGATAAATATTTTTTTTTATATTTTCGGTAAAATTTTAATTTTTAATGTTAACGTAACAATAATGTATTAATCAGATATCTGTAAAAAAAATAATAAAAAATCTGATTTGATCTAATATCAGATTCGGATATATCTGTTTAAAGAAATCTGCACCAGATCAGATATAGTCATCTGGATCGCTACTCTATTCAAAATCATTGTATTTACTGTTTTTGGTCAAAATGACATCAATTATATAGAACTTCATTGTATTTACTACTTTTGGTAAAGAAGCCTGTTCTACCATATAAATTTTTTAGGTGGAGGAAACTAAAGAGAGGAATATGTTAATAATTATATTTCTATATTAACCAATTTATTTTTTCTAACATATATACAATAAATATGTTAGTGAATTTTGTTAGTGCTATGCACCTTCTGCTTAGCTCAGGTCAACTGAGTACTTGAAAAAAAATGAGTTTATATAGACTATATAATATGCTTTCAATTTTGTAGAATGATAGATCAACTTTTTTATTTTTTTTCTTGCATTATTTAATCATGCTAATGTCAGGGATGATATTGATATCAGATGATGCTAAATTTAAAACTGTGCAAATCCAAAGTCTTGATTAAAATAGACTAAAATCCACATAATAATAGCCTGCATTTTTTTATTATGAACTCTAACTCTAAATCGTATCCTAACTCAAATAAATAAGTTCAAATTGCAGCATCATTCCAATAATAACAAATCTGTAAATTACAAATTTCACTACTATAAATTATTATTAAATCTCATATTTTATGATAGTACCTGAAATCTTCTGATATTCATTGTATTTTAATTAAATAAGTATTAATTTTTTAAGTTAGGTTCATTAAGACTATTTAATTTTGTTTTAAACTAAATTGTTATTTTAAAAAAAAGAGCTTTCAAAAACTTTTGTCAGCAGGTAATGCAAAACGAAAATTTTACTTTAATTATCTGATCTTAAATAACTTGCAATTAAATATCTTAATATTTATACCCTTTGTTTTAAGAGTTTTGTGCTTATAGAAGGTTTGTACCTATATGAGTGTCACTAAAAGAAAACCTGACAATTTAAATATAACTTAACTTTAAATTTTTGGTTTTTCTTTTAGCAATACTTATATAGAGGTAAAATTTTATAAGCTTTATATAAGTTGGTTTTAAAAATTTATGTAATTATAAACTAATATAACGGTCTAACTGTATATATTTTGAGTTAATTATGTTGAAATTACCAACTTAATTGAATTTGCCAAAAACCATTTAGCTAATTTTTATCAGGTGTCTCAAAGTTTAAGATAATAGCTATAAAAGAATTGAATTGTGACTTTTCGATTGACCCAGTTTTCAGTTCATCCTCCACCCAGATGACTAATAGCTTATTTGTTGGGTAACTTGATGGATAATTTTTGTAGTTGACTCAGTTTGTACTCAGGTGACTTACAACAGAGGTTTTTTAGAAAAGTCCAAACACTAAATTAAAAGTTTTGATTCAAAAGTTATAAATTGTATATGCCTAGAATCATTAGTAGATACAGCTAATTCTTTTTAAATCTAATTTTAAATTCTGACCCAAGATTTCCATAAATGAAATATTCTTAATTGTTTTCTAAATGCAAGCTGCTAAAACTTTGGTCCCAACAAATTACATTTAAAGAGAACTAACTATATAATGAACTTAGATGATTATCTATATTATAATCATTGATTCATAAAAATCTTTAATTTATTAAATCTAACTAAATTGAAAACATATATAATCACATTGAGATTTAATTTATCTCTTATACAAGTTCAGTTGAATTAGTAAAAACTAAAATATTTTAGTGGTCTATAATCAATAATTTATACTATTATTTTTAAAATCTAGTCAAATTGAAATTATAATATAACATTATAGCACATTTATGGAATTAAACAGATAATGGTCACGAAATCCCAAGTATTTGGTCCAAAATTAAATTTTAGTTACCAAATTATATATTAATCAATCAATGGTAAGCCCTGAAAAATTTTTTGAACCTCTGATCTGTATCAATAACACTTCTAACCCATCTTTCTCACAGGCTAACCCATCTTTCTACATCAGACACATCTTATTGAATATAAAAATTTATTAAAATGATGCATTATAACTTGTGAATATTGATTATCTCAGGTAAAATCTATAATTACATAGTGATCAAATTTTCAAATTTTGGAATTGTTTATTAATGCACTGTAATGATAATAGTCTTATGTTTCATAATTAATAGTTATTGTGCAAACTCTTATAATCATAGATTTTTTTTCTTCTTGTTATTTTTTGTACATTATTATGTAAGCACAGAAATCCTGAATTAATAATCAGTTTGTCAACCACGACTCATAAATCATGATTATAATTGTACGATAACATCGATATTGAATCATGCAATAATAAATATCACAAAATTTCTTCTGTTAGAGCAAATGATTGGATGAAATGTGCTGCTATGCAAAAAGCACCAGCATAACCAATAATCAAGGGGCAGTCACATGATTTTCTGATCTAAGAACCTCCGGAAAGTCTTCAAATTTTTTTAGTTTTTCGCTTACAATTTTTTTATTTTTATTTTTTTTTTAAATAGAAATGGTTACTAGTTATGACAAATATTAAAATAAATAAATTTGGCTGCAAATATTAGCAAACAGTAAATATATATGAATTTCAAATATCACATAAATTTTCAAAGTGTAGGTAACAGATAAAAGAAATATCAAACAATAAATTCTAAAGCAGAAAACATAAAATTAATACCAATCAAGAATGCCAATTAAGTAATGTATTAAATTTTTGCAAAACAATGACCAGTAAAATATTTACTTCTAGAAAAAAAAGTTATATTTATATCGTGTTTTCTTAAAGTTTGAATTTATCTTCATTATTTTTGCTGTACAAATATTAATAGAAATATAGTCGACACTCTTTATAATGAACTAACTGTTACATATCATAAAATTTTTAAAAGTTCTGTATATAGTAATTTACTGTTTCTATATACACCAATCCTATAATAAATTGCTTTAAAAAATTCATTCTAAGAAAGTTACAAAAACTCATATAAAAGTTTGTTGGACAAGTTTAGTATAAAAATAGTTGTTGAAAAATTCGTTATAAAATAATTCATTGAAGAAGTTCATTATAAGAAATTTTGATGAAAAAGAAATTCATTAAAAAGTTAATTTGTTAAATAATTGAAAAGTTCATTATAAAAAAAAAGTCTGTTGAAAAAGTTCATTATAAAAATTGTCAATATATTATAAAAAGTAATAAAAAAGTTTATTTTAAAAATTTTTGATATAAGAAAGTTTGTTAAAAAAGTTCGTTATAAAAAGTTATTAAGAAGTTTGTTATATATAGAGTTGATTGTACAGATAGAAAACAATAAATCGCTTGCATAATTAATATTGTGAGATCTAATAAAAATTAAGTGGATGAGAAATCATGTGACTGCCTTCGATTATTGGTAATGCTGGTGTTTTTCTGCTACATAGCACATGTCAGCCAATCATTTGCTCTGAAAAAAACAAATTTCATGATATTGAGGCCAGACCAAGTTGATTATGTGTTTTACATTACCCCCCTCTCCCTTTCAGAAGAGGGGAGGAGGAGGGTGGTTCACATAGTAAAATTTTAAAAAATTTTTTTTTTACTATGAGGGGGGGCTCTGAGGAGGGGTAATGTAAAACACATAATCAACTTGGTCTGGCCTAATCGTTGCATGACCAATATCTTATACATAACAGTATCAGAAGGACTTGTCCGCACATATGATAATTGACCAATGATTAAATTGTGATCAAACGTAATGTAACACGATCAGGAATAATGTAAAAAAAATTGTTCGTTCTTAAAATTGTTCATATCTCAAAAACTTACAT